TTTACTTATTTATTTATTTTAAGGTTTTTGCCATAGGGCTTATATGCTCACCAGAGAGACAGAGAGAGACAGTGAAAGGGAGAGTGAGAAATCTCTCCGCTGAAATCCCTTCTCCATTCTCCTCTTGGGATTTGGGGCACGCACATTCATGTGACCTGCATGATTTTTAAGCCTCCAGGCCCAGGACTTGACCTGCAGTCAGCCATGTGGGAGTCCAGTGCCTTAAACACTATGCCACCTGCTGGCCTGATTTGTAAAACTGAGGAAAATAAGATTCGATTAAATACTTCATTTTTTTCCTTCACTGAAGTCAGGCAAATCAACTTCCTCTTACGTTTTCTCCTTTTTCAATCTTTTTAAAAACTGTGGTAAAAGACATATAATATGGAATTTGCCATTTTCATTTCTGCCTTTAAAAAATAACAACAAAATCTAATTGAAGATGTGGATTAGGAAGCTACTACGGAACGATAGGTGGCCCAGTCCCATTCTTCAGTGCGCAGTTGAAACCCAGAGAGAAATATGAGGCACCTGGAAAGAATTTATACACAAACCCAGGGAAGAAAGGAACCGGATATGGGTAAGCCATTTTGAATACCTTCCTATCATTTAGTATGTTTTGAATTTTAAAAACAAAATAAACTGTCAGCTCTCTGAACCCTGATGTCACCCCTACTTATTTTCTTTCCTTAGCTATGCAAATATTACCATAGGTAAACAGTTTTCACATTCTGCTGACCTCTATGACGCACCAAGAATAAATTATAAGGTAAAAGAATCTATTTTGAATTTTCAGTCGTCCTCGTACTTGGTTAACTTTGAGAGTTCACCTATGATCTAATTTTGTTCTATTTGTGTCACTGGGACAATGCAGACTGGTGCTTATGAGTCGTGATAATTAAACCTTTCTGATAGTCGATTTCTACATCTTTTTGAAAAATTATTTCTCCCATGATTGAAATTGACACAGAGGGGCAGAGAGAAAGCACTGCCAGCAGGTTTCCATGCCATGATCCATCCCCAGGATCAGCCAGCCCTGGACCCTGGGCACCTGGCATGCCTGGTTTATTCAGGGCAGGGGCATCTTCAGATGTGAACCAGGAAACTTTCCATGTTGATCAGCCTTGTAGAACATCTCTGTGCCACTGTCTGGCCCCTAGATTTCTACGTGTTGCTGTAGATCTCAGGATGAATTTTATTTTCTGTTATGGTTTACCACATCTGTCTTACGTCTTTCTAAACTAGGTGTAAGACTTATATTAACTTGACCTGATTAACTATATTCTTTACCTTGCCTTGCTTTCTCCTCCTTTTCCTTCTCTTTCTCTTTTTCTTTCTCTCTTCTTCTCTCTCTTTCTCCCTCTCTCTCTCTCTTTCTTTTTAGTTTACTATAGGGTGCATGAGCTTGCCAGAGAGAGAAGAGAGAATTTTTTAGGCCCTTAGGCTCAGGACTCAAGCCACATAGTTGGGTGTGTAGGACTCAGCACCTTAATCTCCAGGCCACTGCTGGCTTCATCTAGTGTTTATTTAAATCTCACATTGTGATTTTGCTGTCTAGAAGTTTGATTTAGCATTTGAAATATCTTATTGTATATCTCTAGTTTTTGTTTTTGTTTTTGTTTGCTATAGGGCTTGCTAGAAAGACAGAGAAAGACAGAGAGACAGAAAGCAAGAAATCATCCCCCAGGGTGGATGGCCACACTGCAATCCCTTCTCCTCCCTCCATTCTCCTCTCGGGATCTTGGGCACATATGCAAATGCACCCGGCGTGTGTTTAAGCCACTGAGTCCAGGACTTGAACCGTGGTCAGCTACATGGGAATTCAGCGACATAGCCATTACGCTAACTTCTGGTCCCGCTCTAGTTTCTTTTTGAGGATATGCAATAAAGTCGTAATTACTGTTTTATAGCCCTTCTCTGCAAAGCTATTATCTCTGTCAGTTGTTGGCTGATTTTGAAAAATTGCTGCTGCTTCTTCTTAGTATGACTCATATTTTCCTACTTCGTATAACTGGTAATTTTTGATTGAATGTTAGGCACTGGGAATTTGACCTTGGTAAATGCTATTTATGATTGTATTCTTATGGATATTCTTGGACTTTGGTCTGGAATGGAGTTCAATTGCTTAGAAATTATTTGATCTTTTCAGGTCTTTCTTTTAAGATTTTGTATGGATTAGGAACAGTATTCAATCTTGGGGTAATTATTACCCAATACTGAGGCAGGACTTTTCTGGATACTGCACTCATGCCCTGTGACTTGGGAAGTTTTCTAGCACAGCTGGTAGGAATCAGCACCAATCCTAGCTCTGTATGAGAGCCAGACACTCTTACCCCAAATCCTTTCACTGTTTTCTTTTCTTTTTTTTGGCTTTGTGTAGTTTCTCATACATGTATTGATCAGTACTCAATGTAATACTCCAGGGCAGAGATCAGTAAAACAAATACAGTATTCTTCTGGTAAAAGGTGACCAGACTCTAGTGAAAAGTGGTTCTTAAAACATTGCCTTATGCAGGACCAGCAGATGGCATAATGGTTACATTGTTGGACTCTCACATAGTGGACCACGGTTTGAGTCCCGGACCTGGCACTTAAAACTCACATTGGACATATGTGCATGTGTGCCTGAGACCCCAGGAGGAGACTGGAGGAGAAGGGACTGTGGCATGACCAGCCCCCCAGGAGGTGACTTCTCACTTTCTGTCTCTCTGTCTCTGTCTCTCCAGTAAGTGCACATGCCCTATGGTAAAAGCCTTAAGAACAAACAAACACAAAACATTGCCTTATAATAATACTCATCAGAATCACCTGGGGTGACAGTTAAAACGGCAGATTATTGGGACCAGCATTTAGCATAATGGCTGTGTCGCTGGACTCCCATGTAGTTGACCACGGTTCGAGTCCTGGACCTGGTGGCTTAAACTCACGCCTGGCTCGTGTGCGTTTGTGGCCAAGATCCTGAGAGGAGAGAGGAGGAAAAGGGATTGCGGTGTGGCCATCGTCCCTGGGGAGTAATTTCTCGCTTTCTGTCTCTGTCTTTCTGGTGAGCGCACTCATACTATAGCAAAAACCTCTCAAAACAGAAAAAGAAAAAAAATTGGCAGATTATTGAGCCATACAGCAGACCAGCGTAATCGGAAATCTCTGAGAGGAGAATTTGGCAGTTTTCACTTTAATAAATTATAAAGTGGACTGAAGTTCAACAGGCTGGAGAAAAGGAGAGGAAAATCAAAAGCAGGAAAAAAAAATTCAAAAAGAGAAAAAAATTCTGAAGGTGTTACAGTAGGATTCCTAGTAGTGAAAAATGAGTCTTCTCTCAAGTAACTATTTCAGATTTCATTTCTCAAATGTTTTCAGTTCAGTTTGTGGAATGATGAGATATCAGATTTTATATTTTCAAAAAGTAAAAAATATGCCAGTGTTTGCTTTATAGTTGTTTTTGAATATGTATTCTATAACATGAGCTTAAATTAATTTTTCTTAACATAACAATTATTTCAATGTGATTTTTCAGTACATGAATGCAGTGTGTAATGATTAAATCAGGGTAATTAGTATACTCATCATTTCAATTCATTTCAGTAATTTATAGCATTCTATACAGTAAGTTGTTAACCATGTTCTCCCCACTGTTTATTTTAATGCTGGTGTTCTTTCTATCTGCAATATTGTTCCTGTTAAGCAGCAACCTTCTACTCCCCTCCCCTCATTTTCTTCAGCATCTACTAGTCATTCTATGTCTCTCTATTATAAGGTCATTTTTTCCAAATTCCATATTTGAGAGCGCATCTGGTGGTGCCTGGCTTATTTTATTTAACATAATATCTTCTAGGCTCATCCATTTAATCTCAAAGAACTAAATTTCACCTTAATAACTGTAAAATTCTGTTCTCTCTCTTTGAGCATGTGTGCGTGCACGCGTGTGTGTGTGTGTATCACTTAAAAATTATTCATCTTTTAACGAGCGCTTGAGTTCCTTCTGTATCTTCGCTATTGTGAATAATGCTGCAGTAAACACTGGGTGCAGATATATTTACAACATACTGATTTCTTTTTCTTTGGATATATGCTTAGTAGTGGGATTGCTGGTTAATATTGGCAGTTCTTTTAGTTTCTTGAGAAATTGCCATCCTGTTTTCCATAATCGCTGTACTAATGTGCATTTCCCCCATAAGGTACATTCCACACATAATGTACATTTCCCTTTGTTGTGGATCCTTTCTCCACGTCCTCACCAGCATTCTTACTTATTTTATTTTTTTGTCTTTTTGAGAATAGCCTTTCAAACTGGAGTTAGATGGTATTTCATTGTGGTTTTCATTTTAATCTCCTTCATAATTAATGATGCTGATAATTTTTTCATATGTTCATTGGCCATTTATATGCCTTGTTTGAGAACTGTTTGTCAGGTCATGTGCCAATTGGTCTTGTTGTTGTTGTTCTTTTTAATATGATAAAGGGTGTGTGTACATGCATGAAATATATGAATGTGGAGAAAGCACCCTCAACAGGACCTGGACATGGCACAATCCTTTTTTTATCATTTAAAATCTCCATCCCAGCAGGACCCTGGACATGTGTACATGCACCTATATTTACCCATTTTTATTTTTTTAAACTTTTAATTATAATTAAAATTTTAATTAATTATTAATTTACCAGAGGGCATGTGGACTTGTTGGAGAGAGATCAGGGAGGGGGTGGTGAGAAGGCATCTCCCCCCCCCTTCATGAGGGCTGACCATGCTACAATTCCTTCTCCATTTCTCCCTCTCTGGTATGTTTTTCAAGCTGCCAGATCCAGGACTCAAACTGTGGAATTGGTCTTGCGAGATTCAGCTGCTCTAGCCACCATACCACCAGCTGGCCCATTTGCCCATTATTAAACTGGGATATTATTATTTTTTGTGGGTGTGGTGGCCCCTGCCCTATTATTAATTTTTGCTGCTGAGTTTTTGAGTTTCTTGTATATTCTGCTTCTTAATCCCTTGTCAGATGGATAATGGACAAATATTTTCTCCCATTCTATGGGTTGTCTCTTCACTCTGTTGATTGTTTCTTTTGCTATGCAGATGCTTTTTAATTTGATGTAGTCTCATTTGTCTATTTTTGCTTTTGTTCCCTGTACTGTTGAGGTTTTATTCAAGAGTTTTCTTCCCATCCCAATGTTCTTGAAGTGTTTCCCTTATGTGTTCTTCTAGTAGCTGTATAATTTCAGCTTTTTTGTTCGAATCTTTAAACATAACATTTGGAATTGATTACGTATATTATGAGAAATACAGATCTGTCTTCATTAGTCCACATATGGATGTACAATTTTCCTAGCATTATTTCTCGAAGAGATTGTCTTTTCCCCAGTGGATATTTTCGGCATCAGCTACCTGAAAAAAAATCAGCTGCCTGTATATATGTGAATTTATTTCTGGATTCTCTGTCATAATATGAATGTTTGCTAATTTATTGATAGCTAGCAGATTTTATATTTAGTATTATCCCATAGAAAAGATTGAAACTTAGCAGAGGACAATTGATGTCTGTTTTGTTTGAATATTAGGTAGTTAGAAATATAAAAATGTAATATAACAAATCTTTTAATGTAAAAATTAGGCATTTCTTTTTCTAAGAAGTAAAAACTGACATGTATTGAGGGCCTACTGAGTGTCAGGTACATTACACAGTAGTACCCTCCTTGCTGCAGGGGATGCCTGAAACTCTCTAATTGTTCTCTGTTTTCCTGTGCATACATACCTATGATAAAGTTTAACTTATAAATTAGGCTCAGTAAGGGGTTAACAACAGTAATTATTAAAAAAATAATGGAACAATTACAATAATAAGCTATAATAAAATGTTATGTGGCTGTGGTCTCTCTTTCTTAAAATATCTTATATTAACGAAGATAACTGATTGTGGTGGACCACAGGTAACAGAAACCACAAAAGCGAAACTGCGGATAAGGAGAGGACCACCGTGTACTCATCTCTTTTAGTATTAACAGTAGCAGGGGAGGATGTTACTATCATCCCTGTTTACAATTGAAGATTCGACACTACGGGTAAAAGGGTAGAAGGTTAAAGTAAGTTTAACAGAGTTCCTGAGAAAGGCTAAAAAGCGGGAAAGGAATTGAGTTTGGATTAGGTTTGGATCATACTACCCCGATGGTTAATATAGATTTGTTCAGGTGATCAATAGAGCTCTATGCCTTAAATAAACTCATATCCAAAATGAATGATCATAATTATGCTTTTTCATAAGTAGGGCATATCTTTTATCTCATAAAAATAAAATTTAAAAAAGGAATTTAAAAAAATAATTATTTACTTAATTTTATTTATTATTACTTTGCTACAGGGCATGTGTGCTCACCAGAGAGAGACAGAGAGAGAGAAAAGGAAAGTGAGAAAGCAAGTTGCTAAGTCCAGGACCCACACTGTGTTCAGACATGTGGGAGTCCAGCACCTTACCCACTGTACCACTTGCTGGCCCCAAAAAAGAATTTTTTTAAGAGAATTTTTTTTTTTTTCTACAGGACATCTGTGCCTACTGCAGGGACTGAGAGAGACAGAGAGAGAGAAAGTGAGAAATCACCCCCTGGGGAGATGGTTATGCCACAATTCCCTTTCCTCCATTCTCCTCCGGGGATCTTGGATGCACATAGGCTAGGTGTGAGTTTTAAGCTGCCAGGTCTGGGACTCAAACCATGGTTGACTACATGGGAGTGGAGCAATGTAACCATTATGTCATCTGCTAGACCTGAAAGACATGTTTTAAAAAGAGCAGTAGGCAATATATGTTAAATAATCCAGATATATATATTAAAAGTTCAAAGAATATTTGATTCTAGGTTGTTTTCAGCTTCTGTAACTTATGCTATGTAATTTTCAAACTCTTTCACTTGCAGAAAGAGAATGAAGAACATCATCGTTTACTGAAAGGGTCACCTTTCAAGTTAAATCTCTACCCACGGGAGTATTTTGATACCAACCCTTATTTTTTTGAGAAAACTTTGCCACCAATTAAAACAGAAGCGAAGAAAAGTTTACTTTCAAGCCCATTTAAACCTTCTTCTCCTGGTAAAAAAGTAAGTTAAAATGTTTAGAATTAAAAATTTAGAATGAAAAAATTAGAATTATAAGGAAATACTACCCCTTGCTTTTACTTTATTACTCATATAAATAATGTGCTTTTGTTTGTATGGATGCCAAAAATCATGAAACAAAACTATGTAAAGTCATAATTATTAATAGTAGTATAGAGGATAATGAAGCTCTTGCAATGAAGTAATTAATAATCACTTTAAATGTATTCAAATTTACAGTAAATTTTAAGGTGCCTGTCTAGATCCTAGGCTTAACTTTTCTCAAAACCATAAAGGCTAAACCATCTTTTAGCTTTAGAAATGGTAGTGAAAATTAATTGCCTTTCTATAGTAGGAGTTTATAAGTGAGAGTAAAAATAAAAATGATCTGACAGTTTATAAACCTTATATGTTGTCTTTTTTTTTTTTTTTTGTCAATTGTCTGCTCATTTTTCCCTGTAGATTTTTTTTTTTTTTTTTGGAGAGATTTTCGCTATAGGGCGCGTGCGCTCGCCAGACAGACAGAGAGAGACATAGAGACAGAAAGCGAGAAATCACCCCCCAGGGGGGATGGTCACG